CACACACAACCCGTCTTCCATTTCAAAAGTCCTTGCCTATTCTGCCATTGTTCTTTCAGGGGGCTGTGCCCATGGACGTCGCCTCCTCTTCCGAGCCCCGGGCCCTTGCTGAGTCGGTCTCCCTTTCTTGGGCCCCGGACAGCAAGCCGCAGAGCACACTGTCCCCAGTGGCCATCTGAGCACCTGCCTTTGTAGGTTGCTGTCCCTCTCGTCCCCACCCTGCGTGCTGCTTTCACTCAGGCCCTGAGAGGATCCCAGTTGGCTCCTGCCACGGCTTTTGCGGCCCCACCAGGCTGGGACCTGCTTGGCCCAAATTCCTGGCTTCCCTCCTCTCCTCCTTGGGAGGCCCAGTTCTCCGCTCTGAGAACTGCATTTGGCCCTATTCAATTGAGCTGCTTGTCTTTTTTGTGCGGAGTAGTGGGGGCTCTTTGTGAAGCCTGGGTGCTAATCCCATCCTGATGGTTTGTGTTTCAGACTCCTCCTCCTCCTGGCCCTCAGAGGCTGGTTTCCTCCTCTTTGCAGGCCTGCTTTGGACTCAGTATTCGCCTGGAGTCGCCACACTGTAAGTGACCCCACAGGGACTGCCCCACGGCCCTTCCTTTGGAGGCTGCCCGCCCCCTAGGATGAGAGGTCCCTGAGGAGGAGGTGCCCTGGCGTCCAGCACTCTGCCCATGAGAAGTGGCTCCTTGTCTCTGTAATTCACTTGGTCACAGGTTGGCCTCAGTTCCAAGCCCCGGACTCATGGAGAAAAGCCCCAGGGAAGCTCTGCAGCTGTGAGAAGACAGCAGCCTTGTTTCTTCTTCCCAGCAGGCTCTCCCATTTCACCTCCCGAGCCTCCTCCGGCCTGCCTCCAAGATGCACGCTCCCCTGTCCCCTTCTCCTCTCTGTCCCCTGGGCAGCCCTGTTTGGCTGTGTCCTCTCAGCAGGGCCCAGGTCCAGTGGTCCAGCCTGAGAGCTCTACCTAATTCTGCTTCTGTCTTCCTGGCACTCTAAGGCCACAGGAAGAAGCTGCAGCCCAGCGAAGCTGCAGAAACACCTGCAGGTGACTTGGGTGCCCTGGTTAGGTGTGGGGCCCGCTGGCAGAACGTGACACAGCAGAGCTGGAACCTTGGGGCTTTCTGTGACTTCTGGCACCCCCCTACTTCCGCTGCTTGCATTCATATTACCAACCATTGTACCAACTTGAGTGGGGGCAGGCAGATGCTCATTTTCATGTTTTCATCATTCCTGCCTCTTCCCTCTACACATTCTTTTTTTTTTTTAAGCTGAGCCATCCTGCTACCTGGTGGCAGCTCAGCGGCTGCTCAGCTTGGGCTGGACTCGAACCGCTGTTGCTCAGAGCTCAAACTCTTGAGCGAGCTCTTAACCAACTGAGCCACTCGGCCGGCCCCTCTACACATTCTTTACTGTCCTCAGTGTCTGAGCACGTAGCCAGGACCCGCACTCCAGGCCCTGCCCAGCTCCTGAGTGGGCATCCACGCATCACAGTGCAGCCTAGTCAAGCCAACGTGTAGTCCGGCTGATTTGTTTACTGATTCGGTGGGCAGGGCCTAGAACACTTGTTGCCATCCCATCACCATGGTCACGGGGCTCTAATGGGCAGACAAATGAGCCCGGTACAGAAGATGCATTCAGCCCACTCTTGAGTATCTGCATACTCACTGTGGCCGCTTTGGAGAGGTCAGAAAGCACATGAAGAATCAGGAAAGGTTGCTCATAAGGCTTTACCTGGAGGCCAGAATGCTTCCAACTTGGGCACATCCTTCAGTTCTTTTGCCATGCGTTTTCTCTTGACTCAGTTGAGTTCATGCTGTGTTTGTCTTATATTTTTTTCATTTAATGTTAAGTATGATCCCATGTTCTGAAAGATTCCTCAGAAGACGTCTCACTAAGCTGAGAACGTCGTTCTGGACTGTATCGGATGCTGGGTTCTCCCTGCTGAAGACACCCGACAGACCCTCGGGACTGGCCTGAATACCTTGGACCCAGTGACATCCTGTGATCAGAAACTCTGGCACAGGGGGTCCTCCTGAAGCGGACATGGAGGCAGAGTATATGAGTCTCCCAGCTCAGTGTCAAGTTGGACACTGTGTCCAACAACCTCGAGGGGTCTGAGTGTGCCATTTCGCAGTGTTCAGTCACTCACCCCATAGCCAGAGGTCCCTTTGGGAGGGGCTGGGCAAGCATTCCAGTGTCGTCCTGCCATGGTGCTGCAGTGTGCTTTACTTTGGGGACCGGGCCAACTCCATAGTTTATGGTTCCAGGTCTGGAAACTGGCTCGGGCAGGACCTGGGCATGGCAGCATGACCTGTTTACCGGGATGGCTGCCCTCAGCCTCCTGCTGCCTGTTCTTGCTCTTTTGAGTATCCGTTTGAGGCCGTGCCTTGGTCAGTTGCCCATCCATTGTGGCACCTGGGCGGGGGGGGGCATGTGGTACTGACATCCTCCTCCACTCTGTGGGTCAGGCCTGCTGGTCGGTGGTGTCTCTCATCATGAGCCCCTGGCTTCGGGTCCTTCAGTGCTGCCACTAGAACTCTGCTGCCCTTCCGGGGGGTGTGGGGAGATGCAGTCCCTTTCTCCCCTTTCCAGGCCAGCATGCTGGGCCTGGGTTTGCTGTGACTTATCTCTGTTTGGGGTCCTGACACTCGGCTGCCACCTCTTCCTGGATTTCCCGTGACTCTCCCAGTTGTAGCACTGCTAGTCCCGCAGCAAATCGGGAGGGTTGGTACCCGACCTCCTGGGATGGAGGGCACCTGTGGGGAACGGCGTGTGTAATTATTTGCTCCCTCAGGGGTGAGGTGGGAGCACTAGCTGTTTATGGGAAGGGGTGGGCTGCTGCCGCAGGCTCACTAGTTTTAGAGACATTATCTGGGGTGTCCAGATCTTCCAGGGCCTTTGCCCAGAGGTTTCTGCTCCTTATATCAGGGGTGTAGGATTCCCCGAGTGGGCTTCTGATGTTGGCATGACAAACCTGCCTTGGTTGAACGTTCGGCCACCGTTGAAGTTCAGCCACTCCTGTGGAGTCCTGGGTTTGACCTTTGTCCACTGCCTGAGATGGGCCTCCTTTGTGGGCTATTGAGGACATCTGGGGCTCTCAGTTTTCACTTCTGTAGTCACCCGAAAGTTGTCATCCCCCAGTGAAAACACAAGTGTCACCTCCATTCTTACGCACACATTCTGTGCACACACATCCCGCACGCACACATCCCACACGCACACCTGATTCTTCTCACCTGCCAGGAAATTCCTCTCCACCTGTCACGTCAGTACAGCGAAAAGTCCTAATGTGCAAGTTCGAGCAGATGGGCTGTGGCTTTGTGCCTGGGCCTCTCACCATATTCTATTCGTAAGAAGCACAGCTTCTACCCACACCCAAAGAGACTGTATCAAGCAAGGGTGAGACTCATTTGGGGTCACCTTAAGGTGCATCTGCCACAGCTGTCAGTGAATACTAGCTGTCTACCTTTATTCAAATCTCAATTCGACCAGAAAGATACAGATGAGACTGCATGTCTGGTCTCTCATATCTCTCTTCATCAGCAAGTATTATAGATGCGAAGGAAAGAGGAAATAGATGAAGAATAATTTTCTAAACATCCACTGGAGTCCTTGTTGGCATTGGGCTCAACCTTTCTAGAAACACTAAGGCCATAATTTTGGGAGGGAAAGGGCAAGACCCTGAGCAGCCACGAACACGAGGGAAGTGTCAGGGTGAGATGGAGAGCTGAGTGGCCAGCTGAAGCAGGGGAGCTTGGGCCCGTGGCTGGGGCTGGCCCACCCTGAGGGGCTCATTGTGCTCTGGCCTGGGGAGAGCAGGCAGGGGCAGGTGCTTCCCAGGGGGATGCCAGCCAGGCTTCAGTGTGAGCAGGTACCCTGCTGGGGCCCCAAGAAACAGCAAAGCAGGCACAGCAGCAGTAGCAGCAGAGGATGACCATGCTCTGGGTCCCCTTTGAGGAGGCATGACTCTCCTGGAGAGATACCTTGCTCCTGTATTTGCTGTGTGTCCTTGGTCAAGTGAGTCAGCCTCTCTGAGTTTTAATGTCTGGATTTGTGAAATGGGAATGATAGTAGTATGGAGGTCACAGTGTTGCTGTGAGGACAAATTACTACACTGCCTGGGGCAGAGGAAGCCCCCAATAACAATAGTAATAGTCATGCAGAGAAGATCTCCCATCTGCCTGGCATGACTTTAGGTTATTTCACTGAGGGTAGGGGTGAGTCAGAGGGAAAACCTGGACTGTGACGTCCTTCCCAGCTTCAGCCCCGCACAGACAGTGAATGATCCTTGCCAGGAGTTATGACCTTCACTGCTCCCACCCACTGTTACCTGCCAGCCACACCTGGCCTCTGGGGTCCTCTAACATTCTCAAGCATGCTCAGCACAATGGCTGCCCCCCCTGCCTGGAGCACTCTTCCTGCAGACATCCTCTTGGCTTTCTCCTGCACCTCCTTCAAGTTTCTGTTCCAGTGTCACTTTAGTAGCCACCCCCATAGGAAGTAACCACTCCTCCGATGCATACCTTGCATGCCCACTGCCACTCTGTTTATTCGGTCATGTATTGTCTACAAACTCCGCAAGGGCAGGGACTTAGAATTCCGGACCCGCCAACAGTGCTTGGTAACCACATCTGCGGTACCTCGCCTTCATTGAACGAATGCATAGGAAAGGGGGTCCTTTTAGATGGACGAAGGCGGTTCTCAAAGGGCCTGGATGAAGGAGAATGGCATTTGGGCTTGTGTGCAAGGAAAGAGGATTTTTACGGAGAGATGAGGGAAGTGAAGGGCTCCAGGTGAAAAGCAAAGCACGACCCAGTGCAAAGAGGCAGGCAACTGCTGGCTAAAGACGGTGGTTGCATGTCAAATCCGTAGAGACCCCTGGAAAAGCTCCCTGCATTTGCTCCCTTGAGGAGGATCACGTGCAGGGGCCTCGCTGGGCGCCAGACTCCGCCCCGGAGGCGCAGTGCAGGGCGGGGCGGAAAGTGGGGGCCAAGACACGCAGGCGCAATCGTGCTCAGCGGCGTTCTGGCGTCCCAGCCTCCCTGTCGCGCAGTCTGTCGCTGCGGAGGCGGTGGCGCTTGCGGTTGGGCACTCGGTCCTCCGTGGCGGGTCACCATCGCACCCTTAGCCGCCGCACGGAGGCAGAAATGCCGCCGCTGCCGGGTCGGAGTCAGCTCTGGCTAGGCCTGGTCCTGGGCTCTGTGTGTGCCTCGCTAGGGTCTGCGGTGCCAACCAGCAACGCCCAAGGTGAAGCCTGCGCCCTGTCCCAGATTGTGGGGGCTCCTCCCACCCTCCCAGGTCCCCTGCATTCCTCCCTGTACGCATCCCTCCTTTCCTCCCTTGCTCCCTCTGTGATACTGTTACTTCTTCCTCCTTTCCTCCCTCCCTGCCTTCCTGCCTTCCTGCCTTCCTGCCTTCCTGCCTTCCTGCCTTCCTGCCTTCCTGCCTTCCTTCCTTCCTGCCTTCCTTCCTGCCTTCCTTCCTTCCTTCCTCCCTTCCTTCCTTCCTTCCTTCCTTCCTTCCTTCCTTCCTTCCCTCCCTCCTTCCTTCCCTCCCACCCACAGTACTTTCTTTCCTCTATCCATACTTCTTCCCTTAAATTCTTCTTTCCTTTCCTCTGTCCTCCTCTGCACTCGCCCCGCCTGCTTCTCCCTCTCTCTCCCTTGGTCTCTCCCTTGATCAATTCCTCTGTCCCTCCCTCATGCAGCCTTGAGGCCATGGTCAAACCTAAGCCTGCCACCCAGGACTGGGTTTTCCTCTGAGCACCCTCTCCCACCCTCCCTAGCTTGGCTAGCTGGGCTGTCAAGGTGCAGGGGCCATGCTTGGGCCTCTCAGTACCCTGGAACCTAGCATGGGTGGGGGTGCAGTGTCAGTGCCTGTGACCTCACCGAAGCCCCACCCTCCAGTGCAGATGCTCTGAATGTCCTCCTAATCATCGTGGATGACCTGCGCCCCTCCCTTGGCTGTTATGGGGACAAGCTCATAAGGTCCCCAAACATCGACCAACTGGCATCCCACAGTCTCCTCTTCCAGAATGCCTTTGCCCAGGTATGTCCGGGACCCTGGAGGTGTGGATGGGTGCCTTGTGAACTGAGGGTTGGGGGGGTGCCCTCAGCTGTTGTTCGATGGCACTGATTGTGCCCGGCATCTCTGTTAGAGGGAAGCATCATGTGGAAAACGGCAGTTGAGATAACCCGGTTTGTCCACTGACAAGGAAGTTTGTGCTTTCAAGGTGGCCGTCCTCCTTGGGTTCAGGGTGTGCCCTGCCCTCATGTGCTCAGGATGGTCCTTAGCAGCTTTCTTCCCTGAGGAGAGGGTTGTCTGGTGCTGAGAAGGAAGGGGTGCCGCAGAGTGCCACCCTCAGATCTGCAGACTGACCTAGGACGATCGCCAGGCAGCTTGCCATGGCGGCACCAGCTTCCTGAAGCCCCTCGCTGGGCCAGCCCCAGGACCTTTGCCTGGTCTGTGCCCCCGTGAGACAGTGAGACAGTTTCCTGTAGGAGGAGGACACAGTCTCCTGCTGCTTTGAGGGGCTGAGTCCTTCCCTCCCTCTCCCCTGGGAGACTTACTTGTGTGAGTAGGTGAGGCCCACGTCCCACTGGTTGGCTTGGAGAGCCACATGACTCAGCTGCCAAGCTGTTTGCCCAGGACTCCGGAGGTTGCCTGGTTACGTTCTAGCTCCCAGGCTGTTTTCCTCTGAGGGCATTTCCCTCTGCTTCTGCTCCCTGACAGCAAGCAGTGTGCGCCCCGAGCCGCGTGTCCTTCCTCACCGGGAGGAGACCCGACACCACACGCCTGTACGACTTCAACTCCTACTGGAGGGCCCACGCTGGAAACTTCTCCACCATCCCGCAGTACTTCAAGGAGAATGGCTACGTGACCATGTCGGTTGGAAAAGTCTTTCACCCTGGTACTGCTTGCTGTCCAAAGTCTGGGTTCTTTTTGGTTCTTGCCCGAGTGCGGGGATCTCCTGCTGGGGTTGGGCTGTCTTTGCAGAGGCGTCTTGGGGCTGAGTGGACACCTCGGTATTCACTGCTGCCTTTTACAAAATATTACTTCTCAACCTGGCTTCATGTCCTCGCCCAGAGTGGAAACGGGTAGAAGAAGTTTTTCTTTCTTTCGCCTATCCTCATGGTGCATTTCGGGTCCTTCTGCTCCTGGGGTGCGGGGAAGTGCCCTGGATGGGCAGGTGGCCATGATGGGGGTGAGCCCAGCGCTACTCCTGACCCTATGTACCCCAGGGTCCCTGTCAGTAAAGTTAGGGATTAAGGGTTAGAACTCGCATGTAACCAGCGCTGCTGGTCCTGTCTTGGTGTCCTGTGAGGGTGCTGCTGCCCACGGTCAGTGAACGAGGTCAGCCAAAGGAGTGTAAGCTGGTACCAGAGCCTGTAGGGTGCCGGGCCCCAGCAGTCCTGACCCTCAACACCACCTGAGGATTGGCTCTCCTGAATGCCAAACTGAGAATGCTGAAGCACAGGCAAACCTTAAGACCGTTCCTTGAACTTATGGAAGAATCACGTGATTATTTGACAAAATGTGGGCAGAAAAGGAAAGTATAAACTGAATGTAAATCCCGGGCAATCACGCCAGCCTGAGGAGAGCTGTGTTTTGATGGGCCCCTTGTTCTGGGCATGTAATTTTGCTGATAGCAGATCATTCTGTACATACAACTTTATATCGTGATGTTTTTTAAACAGTGTTTTCCACAGTTACAGTTCGTGCAAAGTCAATTTAGTGACAGCACAGAACGCTAACATTCAGAGGTACTGTGGTCTTTCATCCAAGCTGTTTTCAGGTCTTTGCTGTCACACATACCGTGGGACAAATGTCCCTGGAGGCAGAGGGAACTGACGGGCGGTGGCACCAGGAACCCCGGGCCCCTGGGTTCCAGTCCCAGCTCTGTAAATTCTTAGGTGTGCAGTTGACCTTGGGCAAATCCTTCACCCTCCTGGAGCCTCAGATTCCTTCTCTGGAAAGCTGCAGCCAAAGCTGCCTTGATTTTGCCCCGGGGGAGGGCGGCAGTGCAGGCCATTCAGGAGTGTGTTGAAAACCCGAGCTCCCTGTGGACTGCAGTGCTTATCAGTAGTTGCTGGGACTTGAAGGCTGTCAGTAGCTTTCCCTGTGCTCACTGCTTCCATCGGCAGGCTCAGCAGCCTTCTTCTGCAAGCCAGCGGACCTGTCCAGGTTGAGGGTAACCTAAGGTTGGGCTAAGCCAGGCCCAGTTTTGGAGTGGAATCTGCTGTGTAGGAATCGGGTTGTGCGGCCGAAAGCCCACCATCAGGGGCACTCTCTGCAGTCAGAGCTCCTATCAGGACGCCCCTTGTGTGAGTACAGCTGGAGGGAAGAGACGACCTGGGGGAGAGGAGGAAGTGCAGCGGAGGGGAGATCCTGCTTCAGGAAAGGAGGCCAAAGGAGGCCTGAGGGGTATGGCGTGTCCTCCTTCCTTCTGGTGGTTAGATGTTGGGGTCAGGCTGTAAGCACTGCGTGTTGGCCAGAGAATAGATGCTTTGCCTGCAGTCCTTGTGGAAATACATTTTCAACAGGGTCTCTGTTCTCAAGACCTTGTTCTGTCAGGGAAGCACCTGTAAAGGATGACAGCCACCGCCACTGACTGAGTGCTAGGTACCTGCCGGTCAGTGTGCCAGTGGCTCCTTTAATCCTCCCCTCAGCATCAAGCAAGGAGGGTTTCTATCATCGTCATCATTTCCTGAGGAGGAAATTGAGGCTCACGGAGGTCAAGTAGCTTGCCCAAGGTTGCACGGGTACTAAGGGGCAATGTCGGGGTTCGAACCCAGGTCTCTCAGTGTCCTCTGCTCTCTTGATTGCGCTTACTGTGCCGAAGAGCCCTCCACCGGACGTGTCATTGTGACCGTGATGCTCTTGGTCCTGTGGCTCTGCCTGTGCTACCCTCTCTGCTCCTCCTGGCTAATCCCCGTAGGTAGCACTCCTCTCAGACCCCACGCAGGCCTCGCTGACCCCTAGAAGCTCTGACTGCCGACCCTCAGCGGACACCCATCACCACTGTGTCTGGGGCCTCCCCCCACTTAACACAGCATTTCGACTCTCTAGAGGGCTGGCAGTCCCTCCCTCCTTGGTTTCACATGTACTTATTTTGCCTTCCCAACTAGGCTGTTAAGTGCTGAGCTAGGGGTGGGTTTCTGCTTCATGAATGAGCACTGAACCTGGAGTTCTGAGGCATGGGTTGGAACCCTGATTGTAGAGAAAGACACTGAGGCCCAAAGAGGGGAGATGATATTTCCCCAGTTGTTTACAAAGTGTTAATTAACTTTGGGTGGAAGGGCATGAAGGACCCTTCATGTTGAATGTCAACACTCTCTTTCTCCCCCTCAAGGAATATCTTCTAATCACAGCGATGATTCTCCATATAGCTGGTCTGTTCCACCTTACCATCCCTCCTCTGAAAAGTATGAAAACACCAAGGTAAGGAAGTGAAAGGGGCCCTGTTCTGAAGAGGAACCGCCTTTCCCCAGTTAGCAATTGAAAGTTAACTATTGGGTGGGGTGCACGTTCCTTCAAGCTGGCATCCAGTGAGGTTTGTGGGATCATGCCTTGGCAGAGACAAGTGTTGGGGTCTTTAGCATTAGGTCCAATGGGGTATGCCCAGTTCTAGAAGCTATGCTTAGTGGGTAAGACTCATTCAGTGGCTCCTTGGTGCTCATTCTGGTAAAGGCTGTGTGCTGAGGGTTGTAGGAGATGCTGAGACACGGAGGGAAGAAGTAAGATCTGTGCTGCAGGAGCCTTGACACAGATTGGGAGACAGGCATAGCATCCGTCTGTCTGTCTGTCTCGGGCTGACATGAATACGTTCAGGTGCTGTGACTTTTGAGAAGGGGCTCAACATTTCAGAGCATCATGGGAGAAAGGGAATGTAGGAAGAAACAATGTTGGTGCAGAGGACTGTCATGTATCAATGAAAGTCAAACCCACGTTGACGAAATTCAGAAAAGCAGCTGCAGGACAGACATGACCTGCTCCTAGGATGACTGTAGCGATGTCCTGTGGGGAAAGGTGCGTGTTTGGCAGAGGAGTATTCGGAATTCTTGACAGTGTTGCATTTCAGAATAGAGTGAAAGCTATGGGCTCTGGCCTTTGGCTTGTGGCTCGAGTAGTAACAGGGTGAGCCTGGAAGATGCCGTCTCAATACCGCCAACCCTGAAGCCATGTTGTTACTTTTCAGTGCCCTCATGTAGACATGCCGGGCCGCTGTCCACCCTCCCCACATTTGTCCTCGCAGAGATGGGACTTATGGTAGAAGTCCCCCACGAGTGCTGCAGGTGGGGTGAGCATAGAGGGATCAGGTGCTGGGCTCTTGTGCCCCATGGCGGGGTGGACAAGGCAGCCTGTGGAAAGACACTCTTCTTTGAGACGGAGCAGCACCCGCCTTGGCCCTGGGTCTATGTGATGTAGAAGTCATGGTCACACTGACTTTGGCCTTGTGGCCAGCATGGCCACTTTCGGAAATGACGCCGTAGGCTCCCTTCTGTGCATGGTGTGGCTGACAATGGGAAATGTCATTGGAGGGGCACCTCATCCAGCTGACTGGGGATCCTGTCACTTACAAGCCTTAGTCTGTCTTTGACATTCAAGACCGAATTTTTTTTCTTTTGTTAAACATTTTCCAGATCTATTTCATATGCCATAAAAGTCACCCTTTCAAAGTATACAATTCAGTGATTTTTCAAATATTCAGAGTTGTGCAACCACCCCCAAAACCAGCTTAAGACCGTCATGACCTCACATAATAGCCTTGTACCCGTTCTCATTCACACCCCATTTCCTGTCAACCCCCAGCCTGTGGCAACCACTGATCTGCTTTCTGTCTCTTTGGATTTGCCTATCCTGGACATTTCATATAAATGGAATCATACAGGATATGGCCTTTTGTGTCTGGCTCCTTTCACTTAGCTTACTGTCTTTGAGGCTCATCTATGTTGTAGCCTGTGTCAGAAGGCCATTACTTTAAATAGCCAAATGGTGGTGCACTGTACGTTTGAACACATTCTGTGTCTTCATTCATCAGTTGGTGGAGCTTTGGCTCCTTTCCAGCTTTTGACTCTATGAATGAAGCTGCTGTAAACATTCATATGCAGGGTTTTGTGTGGACTTGAGTTTTCAGTTTTCTTGGGTAGACTTGCTGGGTCAGGTGTTTGTGTGGACTTAGGTTTTTATGTGTTTTTGGTATGTACCCAGGAGTGGAACTGTTGGGTCATATAATAACTCTGTGTTGAACTGTCCGAGGAGCTGCTCGGGTGTTTTTCGAAGCAGCCGCATCATTTTACTTCCCATCAGCAATCGAAGAGGATTTCAGTTTCTCCACATCCTTGCCAGCACTTAGTTTCCATCTTTAAAATCTTAGGCATCCTACTGCATACTAGTGGGTATATCATTGTGGGTTTGATTTGCATTTCCATGGTGACCAAAGATGGTAAGCTTCTTCACGTGTGCTTATCGGCTGTTTGTATATCTTCCTTGGAGAAGTATCTGTTTCAGTCCTTTGCCCATTTTTTCTTTGGCTTATTGTTTTAGTCTTGAGTGGGATACAGATGTTTTTATTTTGATCATTCGTTTACTTGGGATTCCTTTCATTGCGACCTTGAGACAGAGGAATAAGAGCAGGGAGCTAAGTACTGGTGGGTTTCTGCTCCCTGCCTGGACAAAGAAGTAACACTTGTGTGTTTCAGTTCTCCTTCCTGTGTGTGTGTCCCCAATGACTGATACTTACCGGGCTGCCGATGTGCATGCGGAATCCACTGTGGGTGTCGCCTTGCTGATTTCTGTTTCCTGCATTTAAAACGCTGCCTTTCTGTGTTTTTGGTTTTGGAAGACCTGTAAGGGGCCAGACGGAGAACTCCATGCCAACCTGCTTTGCCCTGTGGATGTGGCAGGTGTACCCGAGGGCACGTTGCCTGACAAACAGAGCACCGAGCAAGCCATACGATTGTTGGAGAAGATGAAAACATCTGCCAGTCCTTTCTTCCTGGCCGTTGGGTATCACAAGCCTCACATCCCCTTCAGATACCCCCAGGTGAAGAGCTGGTTGAGGGCTGATCCAATACAGCCATGATGGCTGCGTCGGGTTGGTTGAAGGAGGGACTTGTGCAGTCTGGCATTTGGATATGTGCAGGCGGTGGGTGCCCAGGTGACCAGGCCCAGACAAACACTGGGTGCTGAGGCTTTAGAAGCTTCCCTGGTTTGGTAGCATTTCACCCATGCTGTCGCACAACCCATTGCTGCGGGCGTTAAGCACATGCGGTGTCACTTTGGTGGGACAGGACTGTGCAAGCCTGTGCCTGGTTTCCGCCAGACTTCATCCGTGGGAGTTCTCCGTTTACTGGACCTGTTCGGTCTCCTTTCTCTTTAAGCCCGGTCGGGAGCATGAGCGTGTGCTGAGACCTGTGAGCCCTTCCGGTGACGTGCCGAACGTGAGGGTGGTTTGGGGAAGTGCAGCACCTCCTCGCGCCTTTTCTAGTTGGAGGGAAGGTGGGGATAGGGTTAGGAGGGCATCGCTTTATATGAGGTCAGAGATCTGTCGCTGCTCGGTGCGTGGAAAACAAGCCGCCTGGTTCCACTACCCCTGGCATCTTGTGACAGTGACCTAAGGCCCGACTTGCCGGTGGGGGGAAAGACCTGGGGAGGGTCAGTGAGCCACCGTGCGAGTCCACGTCGCAGCCTTAGAGAAAAGGCCACGTGCCTTTGCCAAAGGACTGACCACCCGGTGGCTCTGTGTGCTTTTCCGTCAAGGAGTTTCAGAGGCTGTACCCCTTGGAGAACATCTCGCTGGCTCCTGATCCCCAAGTCCCTGCTGGCCTGCCTCCTGTGGCCTACAACCCCTGGATGGACATCAGGCAGCGGGAGGACGTCCAAGCTTTAAACCTCAGTGTGCCCTATGGCCCAATCCCTGTGGACTTTCAGGTACCGAGGACTTGTGTGAGTGGAAGGGCGGGGCGCTTACGGCATGGTGTCACTGGTGACGCCACCTTCCTCAGGACACGCTGCTCTGTCCATCATGTCTTATTAAGAACCTTCTCTGTGCAGAGCATACTGCGGAACCCTGGGGTTGGAGGTGGTCTGGTGACATTCGGGACATGGGAAGTGCTGGGGGGATACAGTCTCCCAGTCAGCGTCTCCATTTCCAGAGAACGGGCGAGAGTAATTTGGTGACGCACTGGATGTGGGGACTGGAGAGGGGAAGACCCTGGATGAGCATCACCACCGCACGGGGAAGGAGTTTATTCTAGGAGACGTTCGTTCTCCCGGTATGGGGTGGTGGGCCATTCCTGTGACGCCCAGAACTCTATGGTTGCTGGTCCTTGCAGGTCCCCTCTGTGGGAAGCCTACACTTGCAGCCATCGCTCTCAGGGGTGGCTGGCTGAGCAGGGTGTTGGTGCCGAGGGAGCTGGCGCACCGACCTGGTTCATGCCGTCCAGATGCAATGTCTGGTGTCCCTGTGCCATGCTCTGGGGTGGGCAGCCACGGAGTCGGAATCCTCACAGGGACTCATCAGCCACCCGCTCCCCGGACTGCAGACGACATGCTGACCAAGGCCATTTCCGGAACATTCCACAAGCCGTCCCGCCCTTCTGTGACCACGTGAATAGTCCAATCGGAAGTGTCCAGTGGAAGGATGAAGGCCGTGTTTTCAAAGTGTGCTTCCTGGACCCCCTGCCTCAGAATCGGCACGAGGGCTTGTTAGAAGTGCAGAGTCCTGAACCTATGCAGACTTCGGGAGCTGGAAGCTGGAGGTGGGGCCCGAGAACATGCATTTTAAATAACACACAGGTGACTCAGATGCACACAGGAGTTTGAGAACCCGTGCTATAGGGAACATGGGCAACAGAACATACTGTGCAGGTATCTCTTGCTTTCCAGCCCCTGAGTTCCGTGCACTGCGGGATGTCTGCTCAGCTCCCTCCAGCCCGCTTCAGCCCCTCTGCCTGCCTCTCACAGGGTGGCTCACTTCCTGCTTCAGACATGGAGGTCGTGGTCAGTCTGAGGGAGGGAGACACACGAGAGAGATGTGGGTACACCACCTGGCTGTGCCCCTTGCCAGCTGTGTGTCTGCAGGCACGTGAATCAACGTGTCTGAGCCTGGGAGTCCTCCTGTGTAGGAAGGGAATGGAAGGCTCACCGTAAGAGGTGGACAGGAGGATCAGATGGCACCCAGCAGGTATGTGGTAAATGGTGCCATTAATAATCTCCCTCCCTGGTAGCCGGAATCGTAGGAGCCTGTGTGCTGGGCTGGAGGCCTTGTCCCTAGTCTTGGGAGGAAAGCAGCTGGGACTCGGCCTGTGCCCCACCCCACGGCCCCTCCTTCGCATTTATACTGGTGAGCAAGGCTCCCAGTGCCTATGGACTTCTCTGCGGCCTCCAGAGGTGCCGGCAGGTATCCATTCCGTCTTCAGAAGCCCGCCCTCCCTCGTCCCTGCCTGTTTCTCTAGCCTTCCCCCTCTCTGGTTTGCCCTTCAAGGAGCAACGGGTGCAACGTGGTCTGTTCTGGCTGTGTCCGTGGCCTCACTCTCCATTTATTCTTCGCCCGCGTCTGTGCGCTCCTCTGCCTCCCCAACCCACTAAAAAAATGTCTCACCTGGGTCCGCACAGACCTTTTTGTCCAATGAAATCCATCCTGTGGGTGTGACCTTGCCTACTGCTCTGTCTGTTTGTTTGGTCAGTGTTGACAAGCGCCACCTCTCCTGGGCCCCCTCTACACTAGGCCCCATGGCAGGAACCCTCTCTGCATGTGCCACTTAGGATTGCTGCTCCCCAGAGTCACCCCAGGGCCCTCACTGTCTCCTGTGTGTTCCTCTTCCCCAGCTTGGCGCAGCTGAGCCCTGCTGCACTACCCCTTCAGCCCAGCTGCACCCCTCATTTTCAGACGTGTGTGTCACTTGGCTGCAAGAGCTATTCCCGGGCCATGTCCCGTGGTGACCACAGCCTGATGAGCCCCATGCGACCACAGCCCCACCCCTACTCTTCCTGGCCGCCTCCTTCCCCATCCTATTCTGCCCCTGTACACCATGCTCTGGACTCATGCCAGCAGCTGTAGGAGAACCTAGAGCCACGCTTGGAATCCTCATCTCCGTCCCCTGCCCATCGCCCGCACCCTCTTGCGCTCCTTGGTCGCACTGAATTCCTCTGAAATCCGCATTGGCCTTTTGTTCCTTCTTCACATCTTTCCCGACAAGTGCAGTGGGTGGGGGAGTGATTTGTTCATTCAACAAGTGTCTCTCGAGCCCCTGCCGTGTTCCCAGCGCTGCTCTGGTGGCATTTTGTCTCCAGTCCCTGGAATGTGCTCTGGGCTGTTGCCAGAGGACTCATCACGCTCACCTGCAGCCCCGAGCACATGGACTCGTCACCCTGCACAGCCTCAGTGCCTCCTGGGCGTCCAGCTTGGGGCATCCACTCCTTGGATGGACCCACCATGTCTGGATCATGTGGCCCTGACCTCCCTTTTCAGAATACTACCCCTGAGTTCTGTTGATTGGCGCTCCAGCCACAGCAGCCAGCTCACGGCCCCGAACACACCCTGCTATGGTGACTGCCTCGTGCCACCCACTGCAGCCCCTGCTTAGAGCATCTTACCGCGACTTGACTGACTGCCCACGCCTCTTCTCAAATGCTGACTCCTCTGTGAAGCCTGCCCTGATTTTGCCAGGCTGACTTGAGGGCTCAAGTCTTTCATGTCATCCCTGGGGCCCACCAGACACACGTGCACTTTCTCGTCTCTATGCCTGTGTCCTCACTGGGCGGGTGGCTTGATGAGGATGAGGGCCACATCTGCTTCCTGCTCTAACTGCGGGGGCCAGCATAGGAACAGGGGCATAGCCTTGAATAGGGCACTGCCATCCTGACAGGGGTCTTTGATCCCCAGGAAGACCACAGTTACAGACGGAAGGCTTTATCTAGTGGAAAGTAGAAGGAGGCTGGGGCTAGGCGTACTCCTCCTAGAAGGTTAGATGGATATCTGTCATGTTCACCTCATGGGGACGGTGGGTGGGTCTCATGATTGTCGTGGCCTGGCCATGACCTAAAGAAACCAGTGGGGCCAGCTGATAAGATGGCTGGGTACACGGTGGAAGCTAGGGCTATTCTGATCGTTCAGTGGCCCCCTTATTTCTCAGCCTTGGTGGAGGCGGTCGGGGTTCATTTTTCCTTAATATTTGTGAACAAGGCTGGGAGGGGAGCCACCCCAGAAAGGACTGTGGCTCTTTGACGTCAGCGCTTGGCCTGGCTGCTCCCAACATCTCTCTTGGGTTTAGGGGTCATGGAGGGTGTGCTGCTGTCTCGTCCCCCCACTCCTCTCGCGCCTGCTGGGAGTTTGCCAGAAATGAGCCTCACGTGACAGCCGCGGTCATGAGGTCAAGCAGTCGCCATCTTTTGCTGGGTTAGAAAGTGGGCAGAGGAAAGGCCCACCGACCGCTGTTCTCATGGGTTGGGTTTGTCCCTCAAAAGGATACGTTGATGTCCTGAGCCCCAGCACCTGAGAACGTGACCTCATTTGGAACTAGGGCCCTTGGAGATGTCACAAGTTAAGGTGTGGTCCTACCGGAGTAGGGTGTGCCCTGGCTCTGTCTGACCGGCGTCCTTCTGAGAAGAGGAGATGGAACATAGAGAAGAACTCTATGTGAAGATGGAGGCAGAGATTGAAGTGCCACAGCCACAAGGCAAGAAATGCCAAGGACTGCCGCCACCACCAGAAGCTGGAAGAGGACACACCCTCCCTTCGAACCTTCAGAGAGAGAATGGCCCTGCCGACACTCTGATTTTAGACGCCCGGCCTCCAGATGTGGGAGATGATACATTTCTATCGATTGAAGGTCCCCAGTCTGTCGTTCTCTGTTACAGCAGCCACAGGAAATGCATACAACTGTATGGTATCTTTGGCGTGACCCTCCGCAGAGTTTGGAGGGCCCGCGAGGTCAGTTCCTGGGTGCATGGTCCTCTCCTGGCACCCGTCGGTGTGTGTGGAGGAGACAGAAAGCAACAGTAAGTGGCTCATCCACCCGCTGTGGTCTCTGCCCTATGTGAAAGCTGAACCCATTCAGAAAAGCATCTTCCTTCTGGACCTGCAGATTTCGCTATGACTCTGGGGCGAGGGGATGCAGAAGGTAGGGAAACGAATGTCGAGTTTTGGCTGAGAACGTCAAGGGCATCAGCAGAGGGTGGCGTTCGGACGGGGAGTTCAGGGGAACGCTGTGTCTGTATGCCACGGCAAATTCAATCACTGAACTCTCGTTACCTTTTAAACCTTGCAGCGGAAAATCCGCCAGAGCTACTTTGCCTGTGTTTCGTACTTGGATTCGCAGGTTGGCCAACTTCTGAGTGCTTTGGAGGCTCTTCAGCTGGCCACCAGCACGATCATTGCGTTTACCTCAGATCACGGTAAGCATTTGGAAACACCCTGGGGAGTCGCTCAGAGTCTCTGAGCTTGCCTGTGAAATGCGGTTTTCTAGAGTGCCTTCCACATAGGCGTGCTCTCTTTTGGGAATCAGTGGTGCACTGGGTCTGGGGTTGGGGTGCTTTCATGACCACATTGTGATTCCTGGGACTTGACTCCATGGGTCAAAAGATCAAGTGGGGGGAACATTGTAGCACCCTTTTTTCTTGGTGAACTCAGCAGGAACCGTCCATTTGTGTGGGGAGCCCTGTTAGCCCCTGTGCCTAGCCTGGAGGGTTGGAGGACTTCTCGTTGGTCTTAGGAGGGTCCAGAGCAATCCTGGCCGAACCCAACAAGGCTCTCAGATCTGCCTCCTCCCCTCCACCCCTTCACCCCAGGCCTGCTGTCTGTCCTCTGCCAGGATCCTGGGATTCACAACTCTTACCTCCTCTCAGGGAGTTTCCCACTTTGCCGCAAAATGGAAACCTCTTTTTTTAAAAAAAAAATTATCGTTAATTTGAGAAACTGTAACTGCCAAGAGTAGAGGATACACCACAACGGCCTGGGCCCCATCTTCCTGCTCCCCACCCAGGTGTCTGCTGACGGCCATCTTGCTCTTTTCCTCGTCCCCCTTCACCCACCCCCTGAATTGTTTTGAAGCAAACCCGAGGTGCTTTAGTTTTCTGAATAGTGTCTCTCAAAACATTTGGTTCTTGGCAGGCTAACCCTACGACCTATGACCTTTCCTGTTTATCATACCTAGAACCAGGAAAACAATTCTTTAGTATCATCAAATAGAAAACACAACACTGTTAGGTCACCATGTGCTCATTGTAAAAAGAAAGAAAAGTGTATGGAGCATATCATCAAGGGCCAGGGCGCCCTTCCATTCTATCCCAGCTGCTCACGGCCAAGTGTGGCTGAGAGATGGGGGCTGTCGGCCAGCCTTTGGTTGTGCATATGCCTGTGGCTGTGTTATGTGTGGATGTATGTAACATATAGTCATGGAACAAGGCAGGGTTGACTGTGCTATGTGTGCACTTTTGTTCCCTGTCTTGTGTTTTAAGACTTAACAATGTCAGACAGTTTCTGTGTCACTTCTCACAGACCTATCTTATGCCTTGTAAAGGCCCGTAGTCACTGTACTCGTATTTGGAGGTGTCATGCTTTTCCCCTTTTTCCCTGATGCCCTGCCATCCACTTCCATGCCCACTGTCCTCTTGCACTGCTGACACAGCCGACTGCACCCCATGGGGGCAAGGTCTGCTGGGAAGCTCTCTGTGCCCTGAGGCAGCTGTACACAAAAGGTCCTCCTGAGAGGGCCCTCCCAGGACTTTGTGGATCCGAACTCCAAAAGCCTTTGGAATGCATACATGGCAGCTCTTTGTGGCGTTGGTTACTTAGCATCACAGAAACCTCAGTGTGCAATCTCTGTCCTTTATATATTTGATGCCAAAATAGTGCTTAAATTGAAAACGATTGGACGTTTCCAACTTGGAGCATTCCTGATATCTGTTGCAACAAGGGAGGTTAAGGGTTAAGGTTTAAAGTTCATCAAGGGTTCGGGTTTACTTTTCTTTCTTTTTTTTTTTTTTTTAAAGATTTTTATTGGGAAATTGGGGGGATGGGAACAGTGCTGGGGAATTGGGGGAAGGGGAACAGACAAGTTGCTGTCCTTTTGTTCTTCAGTCTAGTTGTGGAGGACGTTGCTTCACTGGCCCAAGTTGGCACCATCATTGCGCTCTTCCCGGGTGAGGGAGATCAGTTGCTGGCTTCTGGATGGCCGCTCACTGCGGCTGCTGGCCGCTCACGCTGGCTGTTGGCCACTCACGCTGGCTGCTGGCTACATACGGTAGCCCATGGCAACCCACTGCCACAGGGGCTGCAGCCTATGCCCGTCGCCGGCGACTCACGGCAGCCCAGCTCCAGGTTGAGCTGTTGTTCAGCATCTTAGCTGTGGAGGGCAGTCACTGGCCCTCATATGTGGGATCCGAACCGGGGCCCTCTGGCATCCCAAACCAGTTCTTAACCATCGCGCCACTCGGCCGGCCCATCGGGTTTACTTTTCATTAAGGTTCAGGATTTGGAATCAAAGTTATAGTTTTTGGTCTATGGTATGTGTTAAAAATTGGACAAGCTCTCTTTCTCTTTAAATTTGAGTGATTGCTCCACAGTTGCACAGCTCAGTTTTGGGTGGTAGACTGCCAAAAGTGAAACCCTGAGCTGTGAGACTTGAGTCCAGACAGGCGGGCACAGGACAAGGCAGTGCTATCCCTGTGGCTGTCGGGTTCCCTGCGTCGGTGGGCAAGGTGCGTCCGTGGAGATGGGGGGACCTGGTCCCTTGGAGCCCAACGTGGATACGTATTGCCAGTTGCTTGCTGAAAGGAGATATTTTATGTTGGGAATTGAACACGTTTTTCCTTCTAAAGGATTCCTCATTCAAGATACTCATAAATGTCTGACACAAACAAAGCAATCTCTGTGTGAAATCACCCTTTTCGTGGTAATTGTAGAGAAATTTCTTTCTTCTCGGTGATGAGTTTTTGCTTCCCCTGGTTTCTACAACGGGAAATGAAATGGTGTCAAAATGAACATGCTGCGATGTGGTTATTCATTTGGCGTGATTTTGTGCTTTTTCTGAACCAGGGTGGGCTCTAGGCGAACATGGAGAATGGGCTAAATACAGCAATTTTGACGTCACTACGCGCGTGCCCCTGATGTTCTACGTTCCAGGAAGGACGGCCCCGCTTCCCAAGGCAGGCGAGAAGCTTTTCCCTTACATCAACCCTTTGGATTCCGTCTCAGCGTTGACGGAGCCAGGTACACATGATGCTAGAGTGATACTGCTTCACAGTAATAGCTCCTTTCGTTTATAGAGAACCCCTTGTCTGATCACGGCCCGGGGACTGACCCAGTCCACCTTTCTGCCCAGTGTTGGCATTCCTGCCCACGTGTCCTGGGCACTTCCCACACTCTGGGTCACAGAGGAGGGGCAGGGCCAGAGCAGACAAGAGTGGCCCCTGTCCACGGGGAGCCGTGGAAGGCAGGGGGTGGGTGGGTGGGGGAGACAAAGGAGCAGGAGGCAACCCCAGGATGGGGAGGGCTATCATAGAGGTGACAGATGACGGCAGCCTACTCGGGAGGTCAGAGGAAGGGGGTGGCGGACTCGGCTGGAGCCCCCCGTCCCCAGATGAGCAGATCTCTGTTACCTACTCCCTTCTGGCAGGGACTCGTCCATCTGGGAGGAGACATTTGCCTTTTTGGCCGCTCATCGGTGTAGTGAGCCATAGATCTGTAGAATCGTCAGGTGGCCCTGCTTGTGCATTCCCTGACACTGAGGGGCAGGTTTACCTGGACTTCCCCGTGGCAGTCCTCTCAAGCTTTGGAACAGCATAGCGTCCTGTTCCTTAGGCCGAAGTCCCCAGTCCCTCAGCTGTTCCTCCCGAGATTGTGTTAGACCTGTGTTTGTCATGGTCTCTGTCTTCCAAAATACCCCAGTTTGAGAAAGCACTTTCCAGAAATGTCCCTTGGACAGGCCAACCTATCCTGCCTCCAAGGGCGACTTGGGTGTGCTTTTTTGAGTTGTCTCCAGACTGATAAGCACAGTGCAGAGAGCAGGTGTGCACTTCGGATGACATCGACTCATTGTGGAGTGCTTTTACAATGGGCTCTGCTAAAGCAGGGTGTCTGCTTTCTGGACTTGTGCCTTTAATCCATCTTAACATGTACATCCTGCACCTCACATTGATTTCGGTTGAAATTTTTGCTGGTTTTGGGCCATCGTCCTGGCCTTTCTGGATCTTGCCAAGTTTGCTTTCCACTGCCCCGATTGTATTTTCCGCACATTTGACTTTTGTGTGCTACATTCTCTGTCTTCTTTCATTTCGTTGACAAAAAAGTTACGCAGTTTGAAGTCCCAATTATAGCCCTTTCTTTACTTGGAGAATCTGACAGGTTGACAGTTGTTTTTGGAACTGCTGTTGCGAGGTATTTGGCAACGTATAAATTCATATATCTGCACTGGCCTCCAGTTTATTTCCAAATTTAATCTCTAGCATGTATTGCTTCCCTGAATGTTGGGGTTGGCTTTCCAACTGCCTCTCCCACCTGGCCAGTCTCACCTTCCAAAGCTGAACTCTTGACCGTAATTTACCTGAAGGCTTTCCTTTGATACTCGTCTTCATGTCAGGAAATGGCAAAGATTCTCAGGCCAAGACATCGTGGAGGCGTCTCAGCCTCTGTCTTTCTCTTGTATTCTGTATGTGGCATGCAGTGTGTCAGCAAGCCTGTCACTCTCCATTCAGAATGTATCCGTATCATTTCTCACCACTTCACTGCCAGTGCCGTGGACCACACGGCCGGCCACCATTTCTTGCTGGATTACTGCAACAACTTGCTAAGGTTTTCTGGCTGTGCCCTCGACCCCCTAGAGTTTTTCTTCCTCCCAGTAGCCAGTGTGATCCTGTGAAAACCCAAGTCAAGTTGTGTCATAGCCCTGCTCTGGAGCCTCTCATGCTGTCACGCCTCACTGAGCCAACGTCCTTGCAGGCCTGCTATCTTGCACCAAGACTGCATTTGTGTGATTGCTTCCTTGTGACTAGATTCAGGGCAAACATTTTTTTTCTGACACATGCACTACACGTGAGTTTGTGTGCTCCCCTTGTATCTCATCGTGTGTACTTCCTGGCGGCCTGTGCCATTACGAGTGATGCCAAGCTCAGTAGTCACCCAGTTAAGGTCACATCAGCCAGGTATCTTTTTTTAAACTTTCTTTTTAATTCTTATTTGGCTTAGAAATCAAGTGTGTAGTAGATGAAATTGGGAAGAATGGAGCAAACTCTCAGGGATCCAAAGGGGCTCGAATGGTGCTTCAAAGACAAGACACATTTGAACATAAGCCATATCACGTGCAGGATTTAGACTTCAAGGGTGGATCAAGCACGATGAGATATCATTTCACCGCCATTAGGGTGGATATTATCAAAATACACAGGAAACAGCAGCGCTGGTGAGGATATGGAGATGTTGGAAGCCTCAGACACTGTTGGTGGGAATGTAAACTGGTGCAGCCACTGTAGGAAAGGGTTTGGTGGTTCCTGAAAGAGTTAAATGTAGAATTACTGTGTATGTGGAAGTCAGCAGTTCCACTCCTAGGTTTATATCCCACAGAATTGAAACTAGGGATTCAAGCAAAACGTGTACACAGATGTTCAGAGCATTATTCACAGTAGCCAAAAAGGTAGAAGCGACCTAAGCGTCTATGGACAGATGAAGGGATAAACAAAATGTGATAGATACACACAGCGCAATGTTATGCTAAAAATAAATGAAAAGAAAAATAGAAGACAACCTCTGGAGCCCAGATGAGCTGCTTCACTCATGCCCCCGAGTTGGGGCTGGTTCCGTAATGTAACGCATTCTGCTGGGTCTCTTCCTCCTCCAGGTCGGCAAACCATGGACCTCGTGGAACTTGTCTCTCTCTTCCCCACGCTCGCTGGACTTGCGGGCCTGCACATTCCACCTCGTTGCCCCGTTCCCTCATTTCATGTGCAGCTGTGCCGAGAAGGCCAGAGCCTTCTGAAGCATTTTTGGTTCCATGACTCGGAAGAGGACCTGGCCCTCCGTGATAATCCCCGTGAGTCGATTGCCTATAGTCAGTACCCCCGACCTGCAGACTCGCCTCAGTGGAATTCTGACAAGCCGAGCTTAGAAGACATCCAGGTCATGGGCTATTCGATACGCACGATAGACTACAGGTATACCGTGTGGGTTGGCTTCAGTCCCCATGAATTCCTGGCTAACTTTTCTGATGTCCATGCAGGGGAACTCTATTTTGTAGATTCTGACCCTTTGCAGGATCACAACGTGTATAATGACACCCAAGGTGGAGACCTTCTCCGCTCATTGACACCTTGAGTTGTGCCAACCGCCGAGGGCATATATGTAATGCGCTCCCATCCAGCTGGTGAGAGAAGGGGTTAGAGCCGGTCATTTTGTGATTACCCATAATATTGGAAGCAGCCCGAAGGGCACACAACACAACATGCAGTGACGCTTTGGTCTAAGAATGTGTAACAGGCAGACCTTTGATTTGGTCTTTCTTAATTTCCAGTCGGTAATTGCACTGGTGCTGGGCTGAACCTTTCTTTCCTTTTTATCTTTGAATGGAGATATATATATATATTTTTTTTGGGGGGGGAATAGTGTGTTTTTCCAGGACCCATCAGCTCCAAGTCGAGTTGTTTCAATCTAGTTGTGGAGGGGACAGCTCAGCTTCCCATGTGGGGATCGAACTGGCAACCTTGGTGTTGTGAGCAGTGCATTCTAACAAGCTGAGTCAACCAGTTGCCCCTCAATGGTTATATTTTTGAACAGCTTCTCTATTGAATAAGTATAGCGTGCTCAAACTAAAATGGTCAATCCTTTAGATATCAAGACTGTAATATCCATACATAAGACTATACTCAAGAAATACCTTAATTATTTGTGGAGTTTAGTACACTTCAAAGAGTAAGCATAGATCCAATTAGGTCTGATACTGAGTTCCTGGTCCTTCCACTTATAATTTAATAATGTTTCTTAGTCAGCCCAGTGTATTAAAGTACTATGTCAACATGTAATCCAGGTTTCTTTTGAAAGATGTAAAGTTAAATAATAATGCTAGATGCCAAGGCCTTGAATATCTTGTCTTCAATTTTCATTTCTAAGATCAACACATTTCAAAATTCAAAGGTAAAATATACATGAAGTGATTAATGTGTAATTTCTACATCAAATCATAAGTCATGCTCAGTAAGCTAGACGCATGAGATATATGGGAAATTCAGTTCAAATTTTTAGAGATTTCCTGGCCCAAATATAATTTGTTAGTAAACAGTATGACCGTTGAACCCTAAGGCCATCTATTAAAAGGCATTGTTATTTGCAATAGAAAACATTTACAGGCCTACCTGTATCCATTAATTGATGCACTCACAACCTTATTAGTTTTCTCCTTCTTCAGGGCTGGTTGCTTGCCGACATCCATTTATGCAGGAGGCAGGAAATATTCTACCTTTAATTGCCGATTAAAGACAACATTAATTTTATTAAATTCTATGGTATTTTGAGGATTGTAAAAACTTTTCATTAGTATAATATTAGGTCATTTCGAATCCCTCAGAATGTAGTTTTCTATTCCTTAAAAATGAAAGTAACCAGAAAGGTTACTTTCTGACAAGCTTAGCCTATGTCATCTTAAAAAGGATAGAATATGCAGAACTCATATTTAGAACACGTTGAAGCTGATCAACCATCAGGAGTTATCAGAAAAGTCAACCGTTTTTTCAATAAACATCTCATATAGTCCTGTATCAAAGTGAGTATTTTTCAGTGATTCTCACTTTACAGTGATTCTCTCTTTACAAGTATTTCAATGTTTAAGGGGAAATATTTGTGAAACAAAATACAGCATAGTAGCTTAAGTTATTACAGCACATTTATTACATGGCAACCAAAAAGGGCAAGATCTTGTATAAAAAGATTACTTCAAATCAGTCAAATTTCAGAATGTGTTTTCTGTATTCACTAATTAGCCTACAATAGAGGTGTATATAGTAACACGAGGATCTTCTAAGTGATGAAGCGACTTAATATTCTGGCAACACCAGAGGCCCTACTCATATCTCCTGATTCTGAAGTTCGTCGCTCTTGTGGAAGCCTCAACTTTATGTGTGGCTTCCCCTCAGCCTTTTCTTTCTCCTTCTTTCTCCTTTTATGGCTCTTATCACTTCCACTAAGATTTTTACAATCCCATCTGTAAATTCCTCCTGACATATGTTCAGTGTATTTAGCTTTATCTCCTACTCCACAGGTACAGTACATTTTAACACAGGGGTTTATTTCACATTCACTCATTGCTCCTGTTGGGTACAGTACTCACCCTTGATCATTTTTCTGCACGTTATTTCTTGAAGCACAGTTTTAGTATCAAAAATCTTCAAATTCTGGTCTTGCTGAAGTCATATCTGAACTATGCTGGAAGACAGTCAAACGACATGCACTCAGGATGTGCAGCTCCCATTTTGGCAGTGATTCACCTGTGTGACCAAATCCACATCCAGATCTGTGTCTGCATGGCGTGCTTTTGCATGTGGGTCTGTCTCTGCTGGAAGTGCTTCTGGCTTATCTGTTCTATGCAAGGGAATGCTTCTGCTCTCCTACAGTTGTAGTTTTTCCTGTCCTCCCTTTACAAATCTATCGTTTTAGAAGCAAAGAAGGCTGCATTTCAAGTTCAGTGGTGTTCTCTTCCAAATCATCTTATGTTGCTTTTTGCGCTTTTTGACACTGAACCCAATTTGGAGCCGCTTCTTGTTTCCTTTTGCATGTCTCTGACACACACTGGGACAAACAGCCACTTTGTGGTCTTCAGATATCACAGCTGCCCATGTTCCTTATCTTGACTTGACCAAGAGAAAGCACACATGTGTTGCTTCCCATAACCTTTCTCCTAACCCATTGAGTCAGACATCTTTCATGAATGTTTTTCCAGTCCCTTGATTTGTAGTAAGCCCCATTCACTTCAGCAGTTCTTTTGTAAAGTTCATTTGAAACGTGTGACCCCAGCAATTTTGAATGGCCCTAATTCCATTCTCACAAACATGAGGGTGTGACAGAACCACCTGAGGGGCTTGTTGACTCCAGCGTGCTGGGTACTACCTACAGAGGATCTGATTCAGTGCATCTGGGGTGGGGTCTGAGAATTTGCATTTCTTCCAAATCACGCTGCTGCTCTAAAGACCACACTTTGAGAATCACTGCCCCAATGTGCATGCTGTCCAGTAGACACTAGGCATATGTGTCTATTTAACTTTACATTAGTTAATATGAAATATATATTTCAAAAGCAGAATCCCAGTTGCACTTGCTCAATATTTCAAGTGCTCAATAGCCACACATGGTTAGTGGCTACCATATTGAACAGCGCAGATCTAGAAGCTTTCTGTCATGCCAGAAAGTTGGATGGAGCTGCCCTAGGTTAACTCTGAATTTGAGCTGGATCCAGCTAGCTGTTGGCAGGTTCCACCTGTGGGCTGATTCTTTACCCTGTGTTTGCCCGCAGAGACGTGTCTGGAGGTGAGTGAAGTATGGTTGGCATAAGGGTAGCGTAGGGAGTTCACTCTGGCAATCAGCCTCTTCCTCTCCACTCCCATGGCCATGGCCCCAGCCTTTCCAAGTAGTTTACCTGGCCCTCCTTTGCCCTCCCTGGTCCCTCCAAAATCCATGTGTCTTCCTGAAATCCCTCTTTGATCCTGCCCTTTGAGAACACCAATAGTGCCTACGACTAGGTCTACACAGACCTTCACTGAGAAATCAGCGTCTTCCCTGACTCCACAAAGCCCCTTTCCTCGGTTGACCAGTTTCTGTACTGGTCCCAAACTCTCCTTTGCCAATCCCTGCCTGCCCGTCTGCCCCTAGGTTGTCCCCTCCTGCCTTCACCATCCATTCATGACCATTCTTCACAGCCTGCTCCCATGGCCCCACCTCAAGGAGGCTGAGGGTTTGTGACTCTCTAGACTGCATCGTGGGATGAAATGAACATTGCTCAAGACTCTTGCAGTCCCCTTACTTTAAAAAAGGCATTGTTTTCTGGTCACAAAATTGTGTGAATTGTAGAAAAATTGGGACACGGAAATGTACTTAGAGGTGAAGATGTGCCAGTATTTTACCCCAAGATAGTCACTTAATGTCTTGTCTTGTGGGGCGGGAAGTGGGGGTGGTGGTGGTGTGGTGAGTTTTTTATGCTGTTGTGATCATAGATTGTGCTTTCTCATGCAATTTTATATTGTTTTCTTTACTAAGTATTATATATGGTTATTGCAGATTTTTTGCAGAGTCACTTTATACTGGTGGTAGTGTTTTATTGTGTAGTGTTTATCATAATTTCCTTAATCTTCTTTCAATTACTGGGAATTTATGTGTTTTTCAAACGTTCGGTATTGTAAATAATGCTGTGATGAACAACTCTGTGAATAAAATGTTTTTATGTATTTCCAATTATTCCCCTAGGATAGCCTCTTAGTGCCCAATGGTCAAAAGCTTCTCTTTTGCTCCTCTTCCCACTCTGATGCTGCCTTAGGGTAATCACACTGAAAGTGAAGCAAAGAAGCATACAAATTAGAAATCCTAGCACCAAAAAGCAAACCAAACCAAACAAAAGACCACGCCCCTAAGGATAAGATAAGGTGAAAGTGGTATCCTCTTTAACCTTCTGATTCTTTGCTTATTGGTGACCTTGATCATGTTCTGTGGGTATGATTGTTGGGCATCTGTACTTCCAGTGTGTGAATTGCTGTTAAATTTTGGAATTGGGTTTCACTTTGTAAATAATCAAACAAATTGCTCTTTTCCTATGTGATTTTTTTCCCTGTCTTTTTCTCTTAAATATGGAGAGCCCTCCCAATCTGAAGATGGAATAAATTTTCATTTTCCTTTGCTTTTTGTGGTTTGGTTTTATTCTTGGTTTATGCTGTGTCTCTTTCCCATTACCAGAGTAACGTACGCTTGTTGTGGAAAATTTGGAAACTGGTGACGATGAAAAGTCCACCCTCCAGTATTGACATTTGCGCCTTTCTCTCTGCTCTTTTCCTGCCCACATACACATGTACAGATACGGAACATTTTAACCTTTTGTATGCATTCATTTAAACTGTGGTGAAATATATGTAACATAAAATTTATCATCTTAAACCTTAAGTGTGAAGTTCAATGGCATTAAGTACCTTCACAGTATTATACTGTTGTCACCAGTATCCACCCATCGAACTCTTTCCCTCTTGCAAAACTGAAACTCCATTCCCATTAAACACTCACTCCCTCCCCATTCATTCCCTGCCCCTATCGGCTGGTAACCTCCATTCCACTTTCTGTCCCTACGAATTTGATTCCCCTCAGTGCCTCACATAAGTGGAATTGCGCGGTATTTGTCTTTTTGTGTCTAGCTTATCTCACTTAGTATAATATTCTTAAGGTTGATGCATGTTGTAGCATATTGCAGAATTCCCTTCCTTTGAAAAGGCTCAGTCACATTCCACTATGGATAGACCCCACTTTGTTTATCCATTCATCCCTTGATGGACACTTAGGTTGTTTCTACGTTTTGGCTATTGCAGATAATGCGGCTATAGTCAGGGCTGCACAACTATCTGTCTGAGTCTCTGCTGTTCAGTCTTTGGG